AGATAGACCCATGGTTCCTTTTGAGAATATGCATAGAATCACTTTTTAAGTCGATTTAAGCATGTCTGTCCGTCCGTCTGTCTGTCCATGTATTTTTGTGAGCAAATTACAGGTCGCATTTATGATCTGAATTGGATGACATTTAGCACAGCTCATTTGTTTGGCCCAAGGACGATCCCTATTAAAATTGGGAAAATCGGTTCAGATTTAGATATAGCTCCCATATATATTTTCGTCCGCTTTAATGTAAATTGTGTACCAAAGTCCCTATATATATATATATATATATATATCTTTCGATTTGCACGAAATTTGGTATAACGTACTGAATTGGGCCTAGAATGATGACTGCCAAATTTCGTGATAATCGGTCCAGATTTAGATATAGCTCCCATTTCATGTAAATGGTGCACCAAAATCCCTATATATCTTTCGATTTGTACGAAATTTGGCATAACGTACTGAATTGAGCCTAGAATGATGTCTGGTATGTTTCGTGAAAATCGGTCCAGATTTAGATATAGATCCCATATATAGTTTCGTCCGATTTCATGTAAATGGTGCACCAAAGTCCCATATATCTTTCGATTTCCACGAAATTTGGCATAACGTACTGAATTGATGCTGGAATGATGTGTGCTGAGTTTCGTGAAAATCGATTCAGATCTAGATATATATATTTTCGTCCGATTTAATCTAAATAATGTACCAAGTTCTTGTGTTGCATAGCGTTTTGAGTTTAATCCAGAATAATGTGTACCAAGTTTAGTGAGATTTAGATATAGCTCCCTTATATTATAGATTGATTTTAAGTAATTGACGCACCAAGGAACCAATATATGGCTGATAGGAACATAACGTACTGAAATTAGTATAACCTAACCTGTGACAAGTTTCGTAGAAATCGGTTCATATTTGGATATAGCATCCATATAAAGTAACTCCTCATATTTGTTAGATTGACATCAAATTTTGCACAAAGTACAAAATTGAGCATAGAATAACGTAGTTGGGTTTTCTAGAAGTACAGACCTAGCCCAACGGATGACCTATTGACATTTGTTTGAAGTCGATTTAAATACTTTTGTTCCATTGTAGCAAACGAATGACATGTTTATGGATAGATCTAGGTCGTTTCACATTAAGATAAATATCACATATTTTATTTCATACAATTTCATGATAATAGTCCTGTTTAATATACCCATAGTGGTGAAGGGTATCATAGTGTCGGCCCCGTCCGACTTTACTACTTTCCTTACTGGTTTATTTATTGTTTAGGTGCGAACATCAGGCGTGGGTTTTTTAAATTATTTTTTAGGTGCGATAGCATAGACATTGCACTTTAATCTGAAAAAAGAATTTGCAGAATATTTCTGTTATTGTTTACATTCGACAGTATTGAGTTTTAAATCGTAACATAATCGTGATGTACTGTACACAAAATGTTTTCAGGTTATATTTTACAGAGGTTCCTATGTTAACCTACCAAAATGTGTTAGTACTGCTATTTGGCACTAGATGGCGCTAAGGTATGATTGCTTTTTGGTAGAAATTTATATATCCAACCCAGCGAACCGTGCACTCAGACGTCAACGAATATATCTGTAATTAAATATTTTTTTGCGAGCAACTCAAAATATCTAGGACCTAATTATGTTCCTGAGTTTTCGTTTGACATGTCCTTCCCAGGTTCAAAAAACAATTTGTAATAAATTTACGCTGGTATTTAAATTTTATTCTAAATTACAACTACCTTGAAAAAAATATTATATTGTCACTCTGTGATAAATTGTAAAGAAAAGAAAAAGATATTTTATTTATATTTCCTTTTATTATAAAATATATATTAAATTTATTTAATCTTTTTATCGTAAACTTATACAATTATATATAAATAAAGGTATTAATTTTGCAAGATTTTCAAAGGGCTATATTCAATTTTTTTTTATGTAACTTTGCATATATATATTTTGATGTAAAAGCGAAGAAAAATAATTTACAAAAAATTTGTGTTGTTGTTTTTTGTAACTAAGTCTCACAAATACTCCTAAAAGTCCTTATTTTTGATGGCGGGCATGATAACTCCTCAATGGAACATCGGAATCCGAAAATTCCAACGGTGTCTCGTATGAACTAAGATTATTGACTTCACTCTAAAATTAACAAAATGGCCGACCTTTGAAAAAATATTTTTGGAAAATCGCCGATTTTTGACCAAAAACTAAGTTAAAAAATAAGGAAGATCTTCACCGATTAACTTTATCCTAGTTCATACGATAGCTATACACTTACAGAGAAACGTGTACAAAATTGGAATCGATTGGGTTATTAGTTTTTGAGTTATCGTGCCCGCCATTCGTTTAGAGAAAAACGCGTTTAAAGTTTGAGAATCCCTTTAGCCGTCACTTGATGCTGAGAAAATAAATCGGCTATATCTTCAAGAGTTCTTGAGATATTCACTTGAAATTTTGTAGGGACATTCTTGAATTAGTGTAGATTCGAATTATGTCAAAAAAAATTTTTGACCCCGAGAATGGGGGGGTCCCCTTAAATATAAATAAAGGTATGTTCTATGAGTAGCTATATTCAGATTTTCGTTTAATTGATATCATTTGTTGATGGTAAATATGTCGAAAGACGGATTCACTGACTGAATGGAGTCAAATATTTCCTTCCGTAGAGTCTCACAAATACTCCTACAAAATCCTCACCTCCGCAAAGCTTCAAAATATTATTCTTCAAAAATCCACGTCTACATTAGGTCCTCCAATAATTATTCTTAAAAAACAATGCCTTCTTTAGGACTTCTAAAATGTGTTCTTAGGTCATCCAATAATTGTTCTAAAAACTCCTTAAATTCTGTTACGGTTAAAAATTGTTCTTAAAATATCCACGTCTTCTTTAGGACTTCCAAAAATTATTCTTCGAATGTTGATGTTTTCTATAAGACCTCCAAAAATTATTCTTAAGAATCCATAAATTTGTTAGGACAGCCAAACTTTGTTTGTAGGATGCCATGTCTATTAAGAACCTCCAAAATTGTTTCTGACAAAAACGTCCTTCTCTAAAAAAACGTCTCAAAATTATTCCTTAAAAACCCATACTTCTGTGGGATCTTAAAAATTATTCCTTAAAAATCCATGCCTTCTGTGGAACCTCAAAAATGATTCCTTAAAAATCTATGCCTTCTTTGGGACCTCAAAAATGTTTCCTTAAAATGCACGCCTTCTGATGGACTTCTGTCAAGATTGTTCCAAAAATTATTCCTTAAAAATCCATGCCTTCTGTGGGACCTCAAAAATGATTCCTTAAAAAATCCAAGCCTTTTGTTGGACCTAAAAGATTATTTCTTCAAAATCCATCCAAATTCTCAAAAATTATCTCTTAAAAATCCAAGCCTTCTGTTCCTTAAAAATCCAAGCTTTCTGCGGGACCTCAAAAATTATTCCTTAAAAAATCCAAACCTTATGTTGGACCTAAAAGATTATTTCTTGAAAATCCATCCAAAATTATCCCTTAAAAAATCCAAGCGTTCTGTTGGACCTCAAAAATTATTCCTGAAAAATCCATGCCTTCTGTGGGACCTAAAAAATGATTCCTTAAAAATCTATGCCTTCTGCGGGACCTCAAAAAATTTTCCTTAAAATGTACGCCTTCTGATGGACTTCTGTAAAGATATTCTTTAAAAATCCCAAAAATTATTCCTTAAAAATCCATGCCTTCTGTGGGACCTCAAAAATGATTCCTTAAAAAATCCAAGCCTTCTGTTGGATCTAAAAGATTATTTCTTCAAAATCCATCCAAATCCTCAAAAAAGTATCTCTTAAAAATCCAAACCTTCTGTTCCTTAAAAATCCAAGCTTTCTGTGGGACTTCAGAAATTATTCCTTAAAAAAATCCAAGCCTTCTAGATTATTCAAAATCCACCCAAAATCCTCAAAAATTATTCTTGAAAAATCCATGCCTTCTGTGGGACCTAAAAAATTATTACTTCAAAATCCATGTCTGCTGTTGGACCTCAAAAATTATTCCTTAAAAATCCACGGCCTCTGGGTACCTCAAGAATTATTCCTTAAACATACCTGTGGGACCTCAAAAGTTATTTCTTAAAAAACCCACGCCTTCTGTGGGATCTCAAAAAATATTCCTTGGGAAATATAATAAGAATTAATCAATTGATTCTTTAATAAAATACTCCTGAAGAAGTTGGAAAAACTCAAACGAAACGTTGATTAAAAATGAAATGAATTAGGTTTATATATTTATAAAAGTATGTATAAAAAATCTATGCGTTTAATTGGAACTCAAAAATATTCTTCAGAAAATCTACCCCTTCTGTAGGAACTCAAAAAATATTCTTTAAAAAATCCATAATTTTTGTGGGACCTCAAAATATGGTTTAAAAAATTTACGCCTTTTGTGGGACATCAAAATATGGTTTAAAAATCTACGACTTTTATGGGACCTCAAAAATATGGCTTAAAAAATCTACGCCTTTTGCGGGATCTCAAAAATATGGTTTAAAAAATCTACCCTTTTGCGGGATCTCAAAATATGATTCCTTAAGAAAAAAATCTGTAGAAAATCGAAAACTATTCTTAACAAATTAAAAAAAAAAAACTTAAAGCTGAAGAAAAATTTAAAAAAAAATCTACGCTGTGGACAACATTTAGTGGGTGGTATAAAAAAATTTCCTTCAAATTGTTATCTGGGATATTCGGATTTAACTCTCGTCATTTCCCCTCTAGGGTAATTTGATTTCAACACCAACCAATGTTAAATTTATTTCACCTCTTCTGTGTTGCGACAGTCGCGACAGCAGGGTTTTGGTCTTTGCTCTTAACATTCCTTTCCGCTTTCGCTTTTCGCCAATAGATGGCACCGGGCGGTGAGTAACTGTAATTTAACAGAATATACTTCATTATCTTACCGAATAAAAAATTATGTTAACCTAGTCGATATATATCTCTTATAAAATCTATACACCTTAACCTAACTTAATGATAACGGTGGGGATGAACACGATGATTGTGATGACGATGTTGATGATGATTATGATCGAAATGATCATCGGAACTTATGTCAGGTTCCGTTTCACAATGTTTGTTGCTGAGATGTTTATGGGCACTGCGTGAGCGTATGCGTCCATGTGAGTGAGTGTGATGGCTCAGGTGAGGTGGTGGTTCTAATGAGGAGGTTCCTGCATGTTCATATCGAGGTGGCCGACAATGTGTAGAGGGTGGTATTGGGTCATCATAACGTGGACATGGATGATCACCAATAGGCGAAGCGGTTTCATAGCGTTTCGAAAGCAACGTGAATTCCTGATGGGCCGAGCACAGGGCCTGTAAGCGTTGCAACAAATCCGTTTCTGGCAAATCGCGTAGGTGCAGTGTACGCGCCACAGATGTACGAAAATTTTGCAAATGCGAAAGCCGATGATTGGCGTCGGTGAGTTGCGTTTGGACATGTTCCAAATCGTCACGAAGGGACTTGAAAGAATTATAAATTTTATTTAGTTATTCTGAGGAAATAATTTAAAGAGACTCACATTTATTAAAGTTTCATCCCGACAGCGACGATTTCGATTTGATTCCTCCATGGACTCTAGACGTTCCTTTAGGGAACTTACTTGTGCCATAAGTCGTGTCTTCTCCTCCTCCAAATCACACAGCTGACTGGTGAGATCATCGATTTTACGTGCCCTCTCGAGAGCGGTTATTTTGTACTCAGCAGCTTCGGCCAATTGAGCCTTTGCCTCGGCAATTTGAGTACGAGCATCTGCCAGCTGAGCTGTAAGTTTATCCACAGCCTTACTGGCCTTTTTGGCTCGACACACCGCCTCGTCACGTTCACCCTGCAAGACACATTTACCCCGTGCCCCATCTTCAATAATGGCCAGTTTACGTTTGAGTAATTCCAAATGTAAATCACGTCTCTGTACCTGTTCCTTGAGGACACGTACCTTACGTTGCAGATTATACAGGGTGCTGGTTGTCTCTTTAAGGGGAATGTCATGGCAGGAACGTTCCCGACGTAACTTAGTGGGGCCATGTACATGGTGATAGTGATCACAGCAGTTCTGTAGGGAAAAGGAAGGGGAATTAAAAAAATATTATAAGAGAAGGGTAGAAGGTGTTTGGACCCTGTTCGTAAATGTTTAGAGACCCAACAGATATTCCAGATTTTATTTATATTCTCTTGAAGATATGATATCAGTGTCGATCTAATAAATGTTTAGAAACCCCAACAGATAGTCCAGAAGTTGTCTCTTGTCTCACGGAGATGTGATATCGGTGTAGATTTCAATTTTATTATGGACTTCAGGGGGATCACGAAAAAGCTTAGAATTAAATATTACCTTTTCAGCACTTCGTATGTGCGGCAAATGATGATGATGATTGTGACCATGCTCCACCAAATGATGATGGTCGGCTGCCAAACGTTCGGCTTTTTCCAAAAGACTTTCAGCCATAATATTTGTATCGGTACCCAAGGCTGGCGGCGTAGAACATTCTCCGAAATGTAAAGCCTTCGCTAGGCGCTGTAGAAATTCCGATAATCCTAAGTGGTCATTGCGCAAGCTGTGAATCTCAGCGTGGCATTTTTCCAACCTCTCTTCAAGTTCACATTTTTGGGCTTCCTCGCTCCTCAGACGACATTGAGTAGTCTCTTGAGTTTCCTTCAGTTTGTTGTGTTCGCAGGATATCTGTTCGCGCAAAGAGTGGATTTGCTGTAGGAAGAAAAAATAAAAAATACCTTAGTATCTCAAAAATGATTCCTTATAAAATTTACGCCTTCTGTGAGACCTCAAAAATGATTCCGTAAAAAAACCAAGCCTTCTGTGGGACCTCAAAAATGGTTCCTTATAAAATTTACGCCTTCTGTGAGACCTCAAAAATGATTCCGTAAAAAACCAAGCCTTCTGTGGGACCTCAAAAATGATTCCTTATAAAATCCACGCCTTTAGTGGGACCTCAAAAATAATTCCTTATAAAATCCACGCCTTCTGTGGGACCTCATAAATGATTCCTTATAAAATCCACTCCTTCTGTGGGACCTCAAAAATGGTTCCTTATAAAATCCACGCCATTAGTGGGACCTCAAAATCATTCCTTATAAAATCCACGCCTTCTGTGGGACTTCAAAAATGATTCCTTATAAAATCCACGCCTACTGTGGGACCTCAAAAATTATTCCTTAAAAAATCCACGCCTTCTGTGGGACCTCAAAAATGATTCCTTAAAAAATCCACGCCTTCTGTAGGACCTCTAAAAATTATTCTTTGAAAATCCACGCCTTCTGTGAGACCTCTAAAAATTATTCTTTGAAAATCCACGCCTTCTGTGAGACCTATAAAAATTATTCTTTGAAAATCCACGCCTTCTGTGAGACCTCAAAAAAGATTCCTTAAAAATCCACGCCTTCTGTGAGACCTCAAAAAAGATTCCTTAAAAATCCTCGCCTTCTGTGGGACCTCAAAAAGATTCCTTAAAAATCCACGCCTTCTGTGGGACCTTAAAAATGATTCCTTAAAAAATCTACGACTTCTGTGGGACCTCAAAAATGATTCCTTAAAAAATCCACGCCTTCTGTGGGACCTCAAAAATGATTCCTTAAAAAGTCAACGCCTTCTATGCGTCCTCAAAAATTATTCCTTAAAAAATCCACGCCATCTGTGGGACTTCAAAAATGGTTCCTTAAAAAATCCACGCCTTCTGCGGAACCTCAAAAATGATTCCTTAAAAAATCCACGCCTTCCACAGGACCTCCAAGTTTATTCTTATATAAAATCCACGTCTTCTTTAGAACCTCTAAAAATTATTTTTAAGAATTTGTTTCACTTACCGAATGCATTGCTTTATTATCGTTCAAAATCTCTCGTATCTTATCCTTAATCAGGGTCTCACAAGGCTCTGACACATTAAGAGTATTGGCCAGCGAACGTAGGAACGACAAACGATCACTTTGCACCCGATCCAAATTTGTCTGCAGACGATGACAACGTGACTCAAATCCTCTCAACTCCTCTTTCAATTTTTCAGCATTAATTTCCGATTCAGTCAAACGGTCCCGATTCAAGTGCAAGTCCCTTTCATATTGACGACATCGTGCCTCCAACTCATGTTCATGATTGGTGCTGCTATCCAATTGGGCACTCAAACGTTGTTTCTCGATATTCGATAGGGATTTTAAATTGGACAGCTCATTTTCACAACTACTCAAGGTATCACAGGTGGATGCCAACTTCGCTTTGGTCCTTTGCAGCTCTGTCATGAGTTCTTCACCACGCGTCAGTACACAATCCATTGTTAGAGTGGCACTATCACAGGCCTCCATACCCAAACACATACTCAGACGTTTGAGAAAATCACATAATTGATTTCGGGCCTGCTCTTTTTGTGATTCCTCGTTAGCCAAGTGAGTCTCTAAATGCTGAATCTTGGCCAACAGCTCCTTACATCGTTCATCGGCGGATCGTTTCTCACGTTGTATTGTCTGTATGGTGGAATCGCAACGTTGCTGCACAGACTCCTCACGATTTTCGGCAGCATGCAGCCGACTTTGTAAGGAGGAGATGAGAGCAGTTTGTCGTGCCGCCTGAGCACGGAGGTTTTCAACTTCCGATTCGCGACTACATAAGGAGGCTTTGGTTTCTGAAAGCTAGAATTTTAAATGGGGACGGTTTAGGAACAATTTTATTTTCTTGTATATCCACCTACTTCTGATGACAGTCGTTCCTTTTTGTATGATAAGGCTGCTATTTCACTGCGCAAGGTGGTAACCAGATCAATGTTGTGATGGTGGTCGGTGGCATTTCCACAGCTACTGTCCAACTGGTAATATATAAGAAAGGAAATTATTATTTGCCTTCTATAGGAGCTCAAAAAAATTCTTTAAAAATCCACGCCTTCTATGGGAGCTCAAAAAATATTCTTAAAAAATCCACGCCTTCTATGGGAGCTCAAAAAAATATTCTTTAAAAATCCACGCCTTCAATGGGGGCTCAAAAAATATTCTTTAAAAACCAACGCCTTCTATGGGAGCTCAAAAAAAAATTCTTTAAAAATCCACGCCTTCTATGGGAGCTCAAAAAAAAACATTCTTTAAAAATCCACGCCTTCTATGGGAGCTCAAAAAAAAAACATTCTTTAAAAATCCACGCCTTCTATGGGAGCTCAAAAAAAAACATTCTTTAAAAATCCACGCCTTCTATGGGAGCTCAAAAAAACATTCTTTAAAAATCCACGCCTTCTATGGGAGCTCAAAAAAAACATTCTTTAAAAATCCACGCCTTCTATGGGAGCTCAAAAAAAACATTCTTTAAAAATCCACGCCTTCTATGGGAGCTCAAAAAAATATTTTTTTAAAAATCCACGCCTTCTATGGGAGCTCAAAAAAATATTCTTTAAAAATCCACGCCTTCTATGGGAGCTCAAAAAAATATTCTTTAAAAATCCACGCCTTCTATGGGAGCTCAAAACATATTCTTTAAAAATCCACGCCTTCTATGGGAGCTCAAAACATATTCTTTAAAAATCCACGCCTTCTATGGGAGCTGAACAAATATTCTTTAAAAATCCACGCCTTCTATGGGAGCTGAAAAAAATATTCTTTAAAAATTCACGCCTTCTATGGGAGCTGAAAAAAATATTCTTTAAAAATCCACGCCTTCTATGGGAGCTCAAAAAAATATTCTTTAAAAATCCACGCCTTCTATGGGAGCTAAAAAAAATATTCTTTAAAATTCCACGCCTTCTATAGGAGCTCAAAACAAATATTCTTTAAAAATCCACGCCTTCTATGGGAGCTCAAACAAAATATTCTTTAAAAATCCACGCCTTCTATGGGAGCTCAAACAAAATATTCTTTAAAAATCCACGCCTTCCATGGGAGCTCAAAAAAATATTCTTTAAAAATCCACGCCTTCTATGGGAGCTCAAAAAAATATTCTTTAAAATCCACGCCTTCTATGGGAGCTCAAAAAAATATTCTTTAAAATCCACGCCTTCTATGGGAGCTCAAAAAAATATTCATTAAAAAATCCACGCCTTCTATGGGAGCTCAAAAAAATATTCTTTAAAAATCCACGCCTTCTATGGGAGCTCAAAAAAATATTCTTAAAAAAACCACGCCTTCTATGGGAGCTCAAAAATATTCTTTAAAAATCCACGCCTTCTATGGGAGCTCAAAAATATTCTTTAAAAATCCAAGCCTTCTATGGGAGCTCAAAAATATTCTTTAAAAATCCAAGCCTTCTATGGGAGCTCAAAAAATATCCTTTAAAAATCCAAGCCTTCTATGGGAGCTCAAAAATATTCTTTAAAAATCCAAGCCTTCTATGGGAGCTCAAAAAATATCCTTTAAAAATCCACGCCTTCTATGGGAGCTCAAAAAAATATTCTTTAAAAATCCACGCCTTCTATGGGAGCTCAAAAAATATTCTTTAAAAATCCACGCCTTTTATAGGAGCTCAAAAAAAACATTCTTTAAAAATCCACGCCTTCTATGGGAGCTCAAAAAAAATATTCTTTAAAAATCCACGCCTTCTATGGGAGCTCTGAGGATTATTATTTAAAAAATCCACGCCTTCTATAGGAACTCTGAAAATTATTATTTAAAAAATCCACGCCTTGTGCTGGACCTTAAAAATTATTATTTAAAAAATCCACGCCTTCTATAGGAACTCAAAACTAGTTTTTGTTGTAAATTTTTTTTTACCAAATGATGGTGATGATGATGCGGTGATAATCCACTTATATCCACATGGTGGTGATGGAGATGATGATTGTGGTCGTTATCCAAAGGCATTTTCAAGATATTTCTTTAGCCTTTCCTCCGTCAGTCCTTTACACAATTTTCCGTTACAATTTCCACGAAATTACGAAAGCCAAATTTAATTACGCCCAACGACCTGCTCGAATCCTTTGGTGGTCATAAACCGAATTAGACCTTAACGAATTGGTGGGCTTGGCACAAGCAATCCGACAATTAAGTATTTGATTTAATTTTTTTTTGGCGAACTACAACGACCGAAGACGACGATGACGACCAGTCATCGATGATAGTTTGTTGGAAACTATGGTTGTAAAAAAACAGAAAATTGCATAGCTATGAAATTATATCCTGCAAGAGCTCGTTTCTTGGGGCAAACAACAAACCAGGCAGAAAAAAAAGAATTGGTTGCCAAAGGCATAATCGTAGAAATCACATAAAAATTAACTTTTGGAATTTACAAACACATATCAATACACAAATACAATTATGTTGTTGTTGTTGTCTGTATGTGATTGTTGTGTTAGTGAAGTTATGTGAATCCTTGGTTGTTGGCTGCCATGGTTCGGTATATGTAAAGTTATGTTGTGGTACTTCCGTTTTAGTTTTTTTTGCTTTAACTGACAAACACTAGGAGGGCATTGCACAAAATATTTAGGGGGGTTGTGAAGCATGAGGGGTGGGTCCTGTCTGTCTAAAAAATTAAGCTCAATGGCAACGCTTTTGTTTAGTCTGTTTTGTTTATTACTTCAACAAATATTTGGGTCATTCACTTGCTAGGAAACAACAGTGGAGGTAGACAAAATCAACAACTAGTGAAAATATAACCACAACGGCAAAAAAGGATACAACATAAAGGATAATGCAAGGCAAAGTTTCTTTTTTTATGAAATTTGATAAATGTACAAACAATTGCCAGAGCATAAATAAAGTTATGCCATGCTGACTGTGGCGGGATAAAAGTTCGTAAATTCTTTCTGGTTAAACGGTAAAGGCCTCAATATGGGGTTAGGGAAATCGGTGGTTATACATTGTGTTTATTGTGGAGGAATATTAATGTAATTTGTGCAAAAAATTTTTGGGAGACATGGAACACAGGAAATATTCATAGAGACTAGGAAAACGGCGATAAGTTGGGCAAGGTGCCCTTCGTGGATTTTTTTAAAAATATTTTTTTCAATGACCAACATAGGTGTGGATTTTATTAAATATATTTATACCCTTCACCCTTTTTATGCCCTTCACCACACTGTGGTAAAGGGTATTATGTCTTTGTGCATATGTTTGTAACAGGCAAAAATAATCGAGATAGACCCATGGTTCTTTTTTAGAAAATGCATAGAATCACTTTTTGAGTCAATTTATGCATGTCCGTCCGTCCGTCTGTCTGTCCATGTTGAATTGTAAACAAAGTACAGGTCGCATTTATGATCCGAATTGGATGAAATTTGGAACCGCTCACTGGTTTGGCCCAAGGACAAACACTATTGAAAAAATCGGATCAGATTTGGATATAGCTCCCGTATATAGTTCCGTCCCATTTTAGGTAAATGGTGCACCAAAGTCCCTATATATCTTTCGATTTGCACGAAATTTCGCATAGTATACTGAATAGTGTCTAGAATGATGTGTGTCAAGTTGCGTGAAAATCGGTCCAAATTTAGATATAGCTCCCATATATAGATTTGTCCGATTTTATGTAAATGGTGCATTAAACCCCTATATGTCTTTCGATTTGCACGACATTTCGCATAGTATACTGAATTGTGTCTAGAATGATGTGTGTCAAGTTTCGTGAAAATCGGTCAAGATTTAGATATAGCTCCCATATATATTTTCGTCCGATTTAATGTAAATGGTGCACCAAAGTCCCTATACTTCTTTTGATTTGCCCGAAATTTGGCATAGCGAAATGGATTAGGTCTAGAATGATGTCTGCCAAGTTTCGTGAAAATCGGTTCAGATTTAGATATAGCTCCCATATATATTTTCGTCCAAGTTTAGGTAAATGGTGCACCTAAGTCCCTATGTACCCTTCGATATGCACGAAATTTGGCATAGCGTTTTAAATAAAGTCTAGAACGGTGTGTGTTTAATTTCGTGAAAATCGGTTTAGATTTATATATAGCTACCATATATATTTTCGTCCGATTTTAGGTAAATAGTGCACCAAAGTGCCTATACACCCTTCGATTTGCACGAAATTCAGCATAACGTCGTGAATTAAGTCTAGAACGATGTGTGTAAAATTTCGTGAAAATAGATTCAGATTATTTTCGTCCGATTTTAGGTAAATAGTGCACCAAAGTCCCTATGTACCCTTCGATTTGCACGAAATTTGGCATAGCGCTTTAAATAAAGTCTAGAACGATGTCTGCCAAGTTTCGTAAAAATCGGTTCAGATTTAGGTATAGCTCCCGTATATATTTTAGTCCGATTTAATGTATATTGTGCACCGAAGACCCTATATATCTTTTGATTTGCACGAAATTTGGCATGACGTACTGAATTAGGTGCATGATGATGTGTGCCAAGTTTCGAGAAAATCGGTTCAGATTTAGATATAGCTACCATATATATTTTCGTTCGATTTTAGGTAAATAGTGCACCAAAGTGCCTATACACCCTTCGATTTGCACGATATTTGGGACAGCGTAATGAATTAGGTCTAGAATGATGTGCGTTAAGTTTCCTGAAATCGGTTCAGATTTAGATATAGCTTCTATATCTGACCAAATGAAAAATTTAGTATCGGTTGCAGTATGACATATTTATGGATCCAATTTCATTTTACTGGTCCTTTAAATATGCGACGGTCGGTGTGATCCAATTTGGATGAAATTTGGCACATGTCACTTATTTGGCCCAAGGACGAACCCTATTGAAATTGGAGAAAATCGGTTCAGATTTAGATATAGCTCCCACTGTGCGTGGGACAGAATTGTCCCAAATTCCTTCAAAAAGGCGACGTCTTTTCGGATACAATTGTAGAATATACCCAAAGTGGTGAAGGGTGTCATATAGTCGGCCCAGTCCGACTTTACTACTTTCCTTACTGTTTTTTTTTTTTTTGGAATATTTACTATTTTGTTTTTTTTTATTTGTCCACTAGTTGTTACTTTTTTTTGGTGTTGCTTAGCTGTTGTTGATAAGCAACAAATTGCTTACAAATTACAAACAAATATTTGGAAGTTCAATAAACAAATGGTGAATAACAACAAAAGCAAATAAACACACAATGAAATGGAAAACCATTTTCCCAACACAAAAAAAAATCGTAAACCTGCTAGACGGACATAACGTGACTCAGAAACAAAAAAAAAACAAAAAATTTCGAGGAATTTAACAAAAACAACAAGAAAAATAAATTTTATGACTAAGAACATTTTCTTTCCTTAAGTGCACTTAGCCTTGAAACTATTGTTAAAGTAAACAGAAATAAAGAAGGAAAACTTACCGTTGAATTTTTCACCTTGTCAATTGCCGTTGACTTGATGGGTATGGAGGCCAAGGAACCGCACAGAACTTCAAATATTAACCAATCTTCTTCGGTGTTGCCGTTGTTGTCGTTTGAGGACATTGTCAAGAATTTAGATTTTAAAATAAAAAAATAACATTTTTAAAAATTGTGTGTTTTAATTTATTCAATGTTTTTTCAATAAATGCCAATGACTGAATCAATTGTTTATAGAATTTTACGTATGTTGAGGAACCAATTCCTTTCATTTTGAAGTATGTAAATAACAGTGGGGTGTTACCAAGGATATTTGTTGTTACTCAACAGGCGTCTGGAGTTAATGTATTCTTCATGTGTTGGTAATTGTATTTTTTCTATTGATCCATCGAAGGCCTTATATGCGAAGAGGATCTAATCTAATCTAATACTTCTGAAAGTAATTGTATATTTTTGTTAAAAGAAGTAAAAACATTGTTAAGTTCGAGCGGGCCTACATTTTTGTATCCTCCAACATGTAGTGTGCATTAAATTTGCTTAAATCGTCGGGACCTTTATATGGACACTATGTAACTTTAAATTTTCTGTTAGGTTATTTATGCACTGAGAAATAAACCAACAAGTTACAGACACTCAGATTAAAAAAAGCCGAAGAACTTCAGCATAAATAACACGAGTTTATGGTCTGGGTGTGGATAATTCAGTATGGAGATGAAAGTCCTTGGCGAATATATGAAGAACGCAATAGGAAGGTCAAATCTTGGATTTATCGTGTGGTGATACTTTTTGGATAACTCTAGAGTTCACGAAGAAAAGGTCTAATATTGGCCTTGTTTCTGCTTATTCCAAATTATTTTTGATGGGACATAATAATAATAAAAAAAATTGTCTAAATGAGTAGTTTTTTCGCTTTTATTTACACATTACTTACTTATATTTTTGAACAATACAAAAAACAACAACTTTCCTAGTGATAAAAGTAAATTTCGCTAGAAAAAAAATTAATTCAATTTATTGTGTTCAAAGCAAAATCGGACAAAGCAAAGTATCAACGTTAAAAAATGCAAAAAATCGAGAAATTAATATTTAGTTGCATGTAAACGCTTCGGTATTGATTTGACCAAATTCTGGCATACCTCCGGCTCTATGGAGTTCCACGATTCCAGTAAATCCTCCTTAAGCTGTACTAAGGAGTTAAATTTTTTTCATACACTCTCCTAGCTAATTCTTCCCAAAGATGCTCAATTACGTTAAAGTCTGGGCTCTGTGCAGGTGTTTGTATAAGTTTGGGGCAGTTATGGATCAACCAAAGCTTTGCAACACCTGATGTGTGCTTGGGATCGTTGTCTTGATAAAAGGCAAAATTGTTCGCGATTCCCAATTTGTCTGCGCTTTGCTTTACATTTTGTTTAAAATGTTGATGTAGACAATTTTGTCCATCTTACCATCAATAAAATGCAAATTGCCTACTCTCGCACTCAACATGCAGCCCTCCTCCGTGCTTAACAGTGGCTTTTGTATTCTTATGATTAAATTCAGCATTTGGCGTGCAAATTAAATTTGCTTTCGTCAGTAAACAAAACCTTAATATAGTGAAAACTATCAATAGAAATGTATTTTAAGATGATGATCATTAAATTACCTGCTTTCAAAAATCTTCTGGTTTTAGTAAATACTCCTTGGCATATTTTATTCTACTGTTTCTATTTTTAAGGCTTATAAATGGTTTTTTTCTTGCAACTCTCACATAATAATCATATTTATGTAATGTATTGCGAATAGTATTTAGGCACACATCTTTTCCAGTGCGAGTTTTAACATTTATTTTAAATTCTTTTGCGGTTTTAAATGAATATTGTTTTATTTCTTGTAATATCGACCGTTCTTCTCGCTCATTTAATATCTGGCCTTGACCTTCTCCGCTTTTATTGGTCAATCTGAGCTCATCACGGAACCTCTTTATAATATCGTGGACAGTAGATTTACTCATTTCTACCAATTCGGCAGTTTCTCTTACTATTTTACCTTCATAATTCAATTTATCTATTAATTGCCTGATTTCCACACTGGATTGTTTCCCTTTTGGAGCCATATAAATTTATTTTTATTTAGTATTACCACTTACTTGATCTAATTACAATATACGAATGAATATGACAAACAAAATACCGATTTGAAGTTAATATTTGCATAATAAAGGGACTTTTAACATTGATACTTCGCTTTGTCCGATTTTCCGTTGAACACAATAAATTGAGTTAATTATGTTTTTCTGACGAAATTTACTGTTATCACTAGGAAAGTTGTTGTTTTTTGTATTGTTCAGAAATATGCGTATCTAATGTGTAAATAAAAGCGAAAAAAAAACTACACATTTAGACAATTTTTTTAATGTATAGCATTATTATATCTGACAACCACTTGTCCGATTATTCGATGGAGCCACTGTATCTGCAATAAAATCGTAAGAGGAATATTTTTGTAAAACTTTTACTTCTTATATCTCGAGTCCTTGTGCGTTTTTTATCCTTATATTCTTGAAAGTTAAACCAAATGCCACAATACGAAATTTCCCAGAGACCTTGATTAAAAAAAATAAGGCCCACCAGAGTCGTAGATTCTTCAAAAATATTTTTTGATCTTCTTTTAAAGGTGTGGATTTTTTAGTATTTTTTTTAAGGCCCATCAAAGCTATGGATTTGGAATAAAGAATAGTTTTTTTTTTAGTATCTAACAATGACACGTATTTTTCTGGAATATTTTTTCAGGGGCCAACAAAGATATGCATTTTTTTAACCGTATTTGTTCAAAGCCTGTCGTGATATTTGGATTATAAATATGGTCGAATGAGCGTTTAGAAAAAAACAGACAAAAATAAAGATGTTGGCGCTCGAAGGAATATTTTTTAAGTCCATGCATATTCTGATTCTCGCATTTTTTTTTAATCAACGACTATTTTTGTCCTGAAAAATATTTTTTTAATCCTACACAACTACCACGGAACTCTAAGTGCTGCGGTTGTTTATTCCGAGCCTGTTAATAATTCGTGATATTTTGGACCCTATTGCCCGATTAGAGGCCAACAGCATCTCTTCCTTACACTGGCATATTTTTCGAATATTATAAATATTCAGTAAAGCTCTTCTAATTACTTGTTCAGATTCCCTTCACCGTGGGTGTTGTTGTGATGTTCGGCTTATAATTGTGGCCTCGATATGGTTTCCAGTTTTCGGTCCACTTCATTTCAAAATTATTATCTGATCATCACCGAAAATTATAGGCGTTGTCCTTGACCACATAACTGGAACCTCATGAAAAATTTCAAAGCTTTCAGCGATATATTTCCGCCGTCTAGTGTGGTAATGGGTTACTATATAATATATGAATACGTAAGGACCTGGAAATATTTAAGTGTAACTCCCGCATTCAAGAACATGCGACAATATAATTAGTATCAATTTAAAGGTGGACCACTCATTTTTGATACACCATAAACTTCTCGGGTCTATGTCCTTCAGGTGTAAATATATATAGCTATAGAATAAAAATTTTGTAATTTTTCACACAAAAGTCAGGGTCCATTTAACCCGCTAAATATATACCGATATTTATCAAAACTAACACGCTTATTCTTTGACCCGACCCCCTTCTCCATGAAAAATTTCGTGATGTTCGGGCCATAATTGCGGCCTCTGGAGCGACCAGAAAAACCGACAAAATTAAGTATTTGGTCTATTTCATCACCTAAATATTAACCGATCTTTACCAAAACCAACAGTGGTCTTCATTGGCAAGAACCCACCCTACATGCAAAATTTCGTGAAGATTGGTCCATAACTGTGGCCTGTATCGTGTTTACAAATTAGAATGGACAGACAGACGGACGGGCGGACACACATGTCTAGATTGACTCAGCTAGTCGATATATGATGATCGGTATACTTAAAGGTGGGTCTAGAACCAATATTTCGCGGCGTTACAAACTCTTGGGGCTGCACAACGCTATAATACCCTGACAACATAGTTGTCATAGTTCACAATTGTCATAAAAAAATATTTTTTAAATCCACGCCTATTTTAGTGATCGAACTAATATTCCTAAAAAAAATCAGACGCATTAGGGCCCAGGAAAAAAATGCATTTTTTTAAAAACACTACTGAAGTTGTAGACGAGGCACGGTCATACTGTTGGGTTTATTGCTTTAACTAGCAATACCAACAACAACGTTATGTGCATTCGTCACAAAGTGACGACACAACAGCAGTGGGAAATGTATAAAAGAGGTAGTTGTCTGTAAATGCCTTGTTGCCCACGAAGTCAGGCGCAAACGAACCGAACTTCTCATTGGGGTCGTATCGCTGGTAACGTAAGAACTTCGAATTGTCACAAGAGACATTTGGGTTTGAAAGGTTTTTTGTAAAGAATCTATAAATAGCTTCTGGGGAGAATATCCACACAAAAAAAATTATGAGGATCAGTGGCGAGATCCGAAACTATATATCTTCCCTGCCTTACCCCTCGGCGGACAATGCCATACATTCCACAATAATAAATAGTTGTTTTTTTATAAAAACAACAAACTGGGATTAAGCCTGACTATTTTGCAAAAACAAAATACAAATGGTATCCCAAATAACCCGCCAAACACTACTTTTTTTTAAAAAAAAATAATTTTTAAAATACAGCTGCATTATGGTCCTAAGTTTATTAAATCCAAATCCCTGTACCACAGTGTAGTGAAGGGTATAATTATTTTTCCAGAATCAGGCTCTATTTTTAGGTCAGAATGGATTTTCAGGCGTGGATTTTTAAAGAATATTTTTTTAGGTCCAGAACCAGGCGTGGATTTTTAAAGAATTTTTTTAGGTCCAGAACCAGGCGTGGATTTTTAAAGAATTTTTTTAGGTCCAGAACCAGGCGTGGATTTTCAAAGAATATTTTTTTCTAGGTCCAGAACCAGGCGTGGATTTTTAAAAAATATTTTTTTCTATGTCCAGAATTAGGCGTGGATCTTTAAATAATTTTTTTCTAGGTCCAGAATCAGGCGTGGATTTTAAAGATTTTTTTTTTAGGTCCTGAATCAGGCTTGGATTTTTAAAGATTTTTTTAGGTCCAGAATCAGGCGTGGATTTTTAAAGAATATTTTTTTTTCTAGGTCCAGAATCAGGCGTGGATTTTTAAAGAATATTTTTTTTTCTAGGTCCAGAATTAGGCGTGGATCTTTAAATAATTTTTTTCTAGGTCCAGAATCAGGCGTGGATTTTTAAAGAATATTTTTTTTCTAGGTCCAGAATCAGGCGTGGATTTTTAAATAATATTTTTTTTCTAGGTCCAGAACCAGGCGTGGATTTTCAAAGAATATTTTTTTCTAGGTCCAGAATTTAAAGAATTTGTTTTTCTAGGTCCAGAATCAGGCGTGGATCTTTAAAGAATATTTTTTTTCTAGGTCCAGAATCAGGCGTGGATTTTTAAAGAATATGTTAAAGAATATGTGTCCATATCAAAGTAATAAAAAGTTTTTGTTTTTTTTTTTATTTTTTTCTTTATTATAAAAAAAAAATATTAAAAAACATGTCGAGCTGTTTTTTTTCCAATTGCATAAAAAATAAAAAAACATAATTGAAAAAAAAACTATTTTCTACTAAATTAAACTATTTTATTCAGAGAGAAAGAAAAAAACATTTATTTATAAAAAATAATCAACTATAAACAAAATGTTTTCCCCACACTCCCCTCAATTAGCCTCTTGATGTGCCAATTTACTTGGTCTTGGGACCGTTCTTCTTGGGCTTGACTTCGGTGTTGGCGTGTTGGGTTTGTTCAACCAAGTTGTTGAAGTTCTTTTGCAATTCAGCGAGACCAGATTGGACATTTTCTTGGACCTTGGCGAAACCTTCCTTGACGTCATCCTAATGTGTCAGAGAGACAAAGAGAGAGAAATAAAAAGAGAACAATAAATATAAATCAAATCAGGGATGCGGAATTTGATGAAATTACAAGAGTTACCGGGCGGATGCCGTATTTCTTCAAGTTTTCCTATAAAATAAAGAAAAACAAGATAGAAATACGTTAGTAAAATTGTTTATTTACTTTTTTTCAAGGGGAGAAGGGGGGGATATATAGCGATAGATAAAATAATAATAATTGAGAAATAATACAAGAAAATATTGAATAACAATTGTAAATATTTTACTTACTTCGGTGAAAGCATCAGTCAAGTTCTTTTGGAGGGAGTTCTAAAAGGGGAGAGAGAGAGGAAGTTTATTAATAAAAAATCAATACATGATTTAATTTTTTGGATGTCAAATTGAGAATATCAAGGCCTGGGATCGAAAAGGGATTAAAGAAAATTTTTTTTCAGGGACCCGAGACAGACTAGGAGTTTTCAAAGAATAGTTTTTTGGAAGACCTGAGACATGTGGTAATTTTGAAGAATATTTTCTTAGGGATCTGAGACAGGAGGACATTTTTAAGGAATATTGTTTCGGGGTCCATTGAGGCTTGAATTTTTAAATAATATTTTTAAGGGTCCACTAGAGGCTTGGAGTTTTTAAAGACCTTTTTTCGGGGTTCTTTTGGATAAACTTTTTTTCAGGGGCGAGATTTTGTAAGGCATATTTTTTCAGATTACTTTAGAGGTTTTATAAAGAATATTTTTGCAGGGTCCTTTAGAGGTGTGGATTTTGTAAAGACATATTTTTGAAGACACTTAGAGGCTTGGATTTTTTAAATAATATTTTTTCAGGGACTAATAGAGCGAGGATTTTTTAAAAAAATATTTTTTTCAGGGACTAATAGAGGCGAGCATTTTTTTAAGAAAATTTTTTTAGGGTCCACTATAGGCGTAATTTTTTTAGAGAACATATTTTTCAGGGAGCATTAAAGAAGTGGATTTTTTAAAGAACATCATGGTCTATTAAGGGCATGATTTTTTCGGTCAATCACAAGTCGTGGATTTTTTAAAGAATATTTTTTCAGGGTCAATCACAAGGCGTGGATTTTTTAAAGAATATTTTTTCAGGGTCTACCACAAGCCTGGATTTTTTAAAGAATACTTTTTCGGAGTCCTTTAGAGGCGAGGCTGTAATTTTTTAAAGAATATTTTTTCAGGGTCTACCACAAGCCTGGATTTTTTAAAGAATACTTTTTCGGAGTCCTTTAGAGGCGAGGCTGTAATTTTTTAAACAAAATTTTTTTCAGGGTCTACCACATGCCTGGATTTTTTAAAGAATATTTTTTCAGGGTCTAAGCAAGGCGTGGATTTTTTAAAGAATATATTTTCGAGGGTCTATCTACCACAGGCGTGGATTTTTTAAAGAATATTTTTTCAGGGTCTATCTACCACAGGCGTGGATTTTTTAAAGAATATTTTTTCAGGGTCTATCTACCACAGGCGTGGATTTTTTAAAGAATATTTTTTTCAGGGTCTATTAGAGGCGCGGATTTCTTAAAGAATATTTTTTCAGGGTCTATTAGAGGTGTGGATTTCTTAAAGAATATTTTTTTCAGGGTCTATTAGAGGCGTGGTTTCTTAAAAAATATTTTTTTCAGGATCTATTAGAGGCGTGGATTTCTTAAAAAATATTTTTTCAGGGTCTATTAGTGGCGTGGATTTCTTAAAGAATATTTTTTCAGGGTCTATTAGTGGCGTGGATTTCTTAAAGAATATTTTATCAGGGTCTATTAGTGGCGTGGATTTCTTAAAGAATATTTTTTCAGGGTCTATTAGTGGCGTGGATTTTACATTTTTTTCAGTATTGTTTTAAAGTCCTTTGGAGGCGTGGATTTTTGAAATTTTTTTTCAGAATGGTCTTAGGGTCCTTTGGAGGCGTGGATTTTTTAAAATTGTTTTCCAGAATGGTTTTAGGGTCCTTTGGAGGCGTGGATTTTTAAAATTGTTTTCCAGAATGGTTTTAGGGTCCTTTGGAGGCGTGGATTTTTAAAATTGTTTTCCAGAATGGTTCTTTGGAGGCGTGGATTTTTAAAATTGTTTTCCAGAATGGTTCTTTGGAGGCGTGGATTTTTAAAATTTTTTCAAGCCCCTTTGGAGGAGTGGGTGTTGGAGTCGGTCATTTTTAAAAATATTTTTTCAGGACCTTAAAAATGTTCTTAAGAATGTTTTTTTCTGAGAGGCGTGGACTTCTTAAAGAATATTTTTTAGAGACCACTTAAGGCTTGGAGTTCTTGAAGAATTTTTTTCAGAGACCACTGGAGGTGTGGAGTTTTTTCAGAGACCGCTGGTGGCGTGGACTTCTTAAATAATATTTTTTTAGAGACCACTGGAGGCTTGGAGTTCATAGAGAATTTTTTTCCACTGGAGACGTGGAGTTCTTAGGGATATTTTTTCAGAATGGTTTTAGGGTCCTTTGGAGGCGTGGATTTTAAAAAAAATATTTTCAGGCCCCTTTGGTAGCGTGGGTGTTGGAGGCGGGCATTTTTAAAAATATTTTTTCAGGACCTTAAGAATGTTCTTAAGAATGTTTTTTCTGAGAGGCGTGGACTTCTTAACGAATATTTTTAGAGACCACTGAAGGCTTGCAGTTTTTGAAGAATTTTTTTCAGAGACCACTGGAGGCGTGAAGTTTTTTCAGAGACCGCTGGTGACGTGGACTTCTTAAATAATATTTTTTCAGAGACCACTGGAGTCTTGGAGTTCTTAGAGAATTTTATTTCCACTGGAGACGTGGAGTTCTTAGGGATATTTTTGCAGAATGGTTTTAGGGTCCTTTGGAGGCGTGGATTTTTAATTTTTTTTTCAGTATGTTTTTAGGGTCCTTTGGAGGCGTGGATTTTGAAAAAATATTTTTCAGGCCCCATTGGAGACGTGGGTGTTTTTAAAAATATTATTTTCAGGACTTTAAGAATGTTCTTTCTGTGAGGCGTAGAATTCTTAACGAATATTTTTAGAGACCACTGAAGGCTTGGAGTTCTTGAAGAGACCACTGGACGCGTGGAGTTCATAAAGAAAATTTTTTGTAGCGGTTCATTAGAATCGTTGATGTTTTGAAAAATAATTTTTAAGGGGGACATTGGATGTTTGGTCCGTCTTCTTTTTATTTTTAACTTATTTTACTTATATCCTTGCCATCCTTAATCTTTCTTCTCTATTTACCACCTAATATTTTTTTATTCTCTTTACAAACTTACCCAGAATTCGGGCTTGGTGAAAGCTTCGAAGATGTTGGCGGGGAGAGCGGGTTCAGTGCCGGTGCTGCGTGGCAAACGGGCCATCTCAGCTTGCTGTAAATGTAAATTAAATTACAAATTATTCACATTGCGAACACTTTTTTATTTTTGCTATTTTTTATTATTTTAATCCTTGCAGGACTCTATTATTTAATTCACTTTATTCACATCCGCAAAACATACCTGCATATAGCAGAAGATAGCAACAGCTACGAAAACGTATTTGAAGGCACCGGCCATTTTTTGTGTTTGTTTAGTGTTTAGTGAAGGTCTGAAGAATTGACTCTGATCGAATTCAAACTTTGAGATGGTTTTATATTCAAATTTTGTTAAAGAAACCCAAAATTAAAATGCAGATGTTAGGCTACAAGTAAGGTCTTATCTATAGTTTTTCATTTTTTAAATTTTTGTGTGTGTATGCGTGTGCCGTGAAACCCGAAACCTTCCAATTGATAACTTCTTTGAACTGTGAATATTATTTTTGGGGTGATAATCTGAGAATATGTTTCAGTCTTATGTTCAATACAAAACTAAATTGTCACAACAATTACGATATTGTTGCTGTTGTTTTTTATTTCACTCTGCCTCTAATATTGAATATTCTAAGCGTTTTGATTTAAGTAAATATTTTATTTGCTTTCACAAAAAAAAAATCTATCTACTAATGATTATTTATTTTGGTTAAATTTGTTTAATGCATGTACACATGCATTCGAAATTACTTACTTAAGGATGGGTGCTTCCATGGGGCCTTCTAAAAATTAGAACAAATGGAAATTATTTAATTATTTGTGTTCAAATTGTTTTTAAATTTTTTTTTAATAAATATGCACATTATTAGCAATACATAGGCATTAGCAATTATTTATGTATGTGTGTCTTTATAAAATTAAAACAAATGAAATCATTATTTTTTCAATATTGTAATTAAATTATATTTGGAATTTCTTGTATATATTTAAAAATAGTTCTACGCATAAAGTTCATTCACTTAGCTGACCTTGAATTTGATTTTTATCAACAGTAAATGGAGAATATTTAATACTGCGTATATGGACTTTAATAATAATCTCGGATTAGTCAATGTGGAACTTTTAGTGGGTTCTTATCAACGAGTTTCGTAGTAGTCTCAAATATTCCATCAATACTAATTTTAGTTTATTTCAATTTGGACAATTGAAAGATCTGTTGTTAGATGTTTGGAACAACAAATTCAAGAAAATTATTAATCGTACGATATTCTATATAAAAAAAACATTATTTCGCTAATATTGTTCATATTTAATAAAGTGATCAGATAGAACATTTTGAAAAAAAAAAACACTTTTTTTAGAAAAAGGCAATTGAAATAAATAAGAATGAGTTCTACTCAATAAAAATTAAATTATTTAAAATATTCCACGCCTATACTCTATATATAGTGGTCCTTAAATAAAATATTTAAAAAATCCACGCATTTAGGTGGTCCTTGAAAAACATATTTATACAAATCCAAGCCTAAAGAAGGTACTTGAAAAAAGTAATAAAAAAACCACTCGTGTAGGTGGTCCTTGAAAAAAAAAACTCGTCTATAACAGATTCTAAAAAAACATTTTCATAAAATTCACGCCCATAGCTGCTACTTGAAAAACAAATTATTAAAAATTGAAGCTTGAAACAGGTCTTTCGATATATGATTAAAAAAAACAACGTTTCCTTGAATAAAAATCCACTCCAATAGCTGGGCCTTGAAAAAATATCTAAGCAAATAGCTTGAACTAGGAATAGGGCTTAAAAAATCCTCGCCGATAGCTTGGTCCTTGGATATATAATTAAAAAAAATGTATTCAAAAAAATTATGCTCATAGCTAGTCCTTTCAAAAAAAAAAAAAAAAAAAAAATTAATAAATAAATAAAATAAAAACCACGAAAATCTAACTTTGCGTTATTTGCACCCTCTTGACACCCGACTAAAGGTCAACAAATATTACTAATATTTAGTAGACGAGGGCTGTACTTGTCCAGATTCTCTTTACCGTGGGTTATGTTGTGATGTTGGGCTTTAAATTGTGGCCTATAGATCGACTCACAAAAAAAAAAAAAAAAACATTAAGGAAAGTAGTAAAGTCGGACTGGGCCGACTATATCATACCCTTCACCACTTTGGGTATATTGTACATATGTATCCTAACAATTGCATGTCTATGTTCCCTTTTTCTCCAACCTATCCTAACTTTAATTTCATTCGAGCAGATTTAGAGCTGCCTGCGTAACATGTGAAAAATTTATGGAAAATGGTTTATAGCAAAATTTATACACGCTATTCGGTACGCCGCGTTGTTAAACCGATTTTCACAAAAATTAACATACATCTCTCTAGACTTAATTCAGTACGCTATGCCAAATTTTGTGCACATCGAAGGATATATATAAGGACTTTGGTGCACCATTTACATAAAATCGGACGAAAATATATATGGGAGATATGTCGAAATCTAAACCGATTTTCCGATTTCGGATCACCACTCATCATTCTAGACTCAATTCAGTACGCTATGCCAAATTTCGTGCAAATCGAAGGATATAAAGGGACTTTGGTGCACTACTTACCTAAAATCGGATGAAAATTTATATGAGAGCTATATCTAAATCTCAACCGATTTTCGTGATATAAAGGAACTTTGGTGCACTACTTATCTAAAATCGGACGAAAATGTATATGAGAGCTATATCTAAATCTCAACCGATTTTCACGAAATTTAATACACATCGTTCTAGACTTAATTCAGTACGCTATGCCAAATTTCGTGCAAATCGAATTATATATAAAGACTTTGGTACACCATTTACCTTAAATCGGACGAAAATATATGGGAGCTATATCTAAATCTGAGTGACCTATGCCAAATTTCATCCAATTTGGATTATAAATGCGGCCTGTACTTTGTTTACAATTTAACATCGACAGACAGACGGACGGACGGACATGCATAAATCGACTCAGAAAGTGATTCTGTGCATATTCTTTATATTACAAACATATGCACAAAGACATAATACCCTGTACCACAGAGTGGTGGTAATGTACCTCTAGTGTGGTAATGGTTTACTAAATAATATCTGAATACGTAAGCACCTGTAAATATTTAAGTGTAACTTCCACATCCGAGTACATACGACAATATAATTGGTATCAACTTAAAGATCAACCACACATCTTGGATATACTGTCAACTTTTCGAGTCTCTTCTTTGAATCTGACCTCCTTATTGCTATTTGCATCGCATATATTGGTTCCTAGATCAATATTAATGTACCATAAAGTTTTCAAAGTCAGAAAAATGGGGTTTCGCGATATTTTTTTGAATAATTTGTTTGGCAGATTTTGGTTTTAATACTTTTTAAGGTCCTGTCCTCGCGATATATTTTGGAAAACCTCATTTTTATTATTCTAACCCTTTTTTGGGATGTTTTGAAGCCTCGACGACTATATTTAATACTCTCATTTTGAGATTAGGACGAGAAATTACCAAATATTAAATGAAATATTGCTGGAGAATGTAATGAACGTAAATGTGAGAAAATATTCACGAAAAAATACCGTGGTTTATTGGAATCGTCGCCAAATCGCTTTTAGTATGTGGTTACCCGCAATGGTAACTATAAAAAGACAAAGCGTATGTTATATAACGATTTTTTCAAAAATAATAATGAAAAGCAAAATACTTTTTTGTGATAATCATTTTTGGGTTGGTATAGATTTTGATCGATATCTTCTAGACCAATAGGTCTTTCGCAGTGATTCTTGTAGAAATAAGATCTAAATATGTCCACAAACATATCCCATCATACATAATTCATTTCACATCTATAGTATGCTGGCTTTAGGCTTAATATTGGAATTTTGTCAAATTTGTATTGAGGCAAAATACTTATTACACTCACTGTATATAGTTCCCAAATTGTAGAATAATGGAGGGCCTGCTCTCTGGCGGCTATTCCTAAATATGGACCCATATTAATAATTCTTTATAAGGAGTTTTTTATTCTACCAGAATTTAAACTATAAAATTAAAGCCAACGTGATTGTAAAACGTTGGCTTTAATCATGTTAAGTTCGACAGTGAAAAAACCGGTCGAACTTTACCATTCGGTTAAAAAATATTTGGTAACCAATCGAAACTCAGAACACCAAATTAAAGCCAATTCCTAAAATATTTAGGGGTAACGTTATATGAGGACAAGAAATTTAATATACTCTCCACATTTTGGTGGTGATGACATATATACAGCCTTAGGCTATTGTGACAGTTTGTGGGGGATGTACCAGAGACGAGGGATCTATATAGCCGATAATTGCTCTTAATATAAATATTAATTATAAATATTAATGTCTTACATGTTTAGACCACACAGGAGATACCAGAAAGAGTGATTCGATGAGTTCCATCTTCGGACTTGATCTAGATTTCTTAATAGTATTATCACGTGTAATGTTTGGGTGAAAGTTTGATATTTCATTCGCTTCATAATAGATTTCAAAATGTTTGGTTAAAATATTGGGCTTCTAAAGATGCGTATAATTCGGATGCCATGTTTAGCATGATATTATCATATTACCCCCATCTTCGACCTTGATTTAAGTGTAGAAGAAATGTGCAAAGTTTGGATGAAATCGGTTACTCCTTTTCATAAGGCTGACAGTATACACAATTTTTTAAAGGCACCCGACTACAGTGTTTCTTTAACAAATTTAAAAATGCCGCTTATAGTTTGTACTTGAACATATAATGTTAAAAAAAATTCACTTTTGGTCTTTAAAAAAATATTTTTGAAATATTCACATTTATTTTTCCAATGTACAAATTTCTTATTCCGGAAATGCGTACAAATTTCTGGTTTAAGACGATCCTTTTTATACGATTTATATTATCCTCATATAACGGAATTTTCCAAATTAAAATGTTTCGGACCTATGCCATTTTGTGTACTCAGAAACTTATATTTAGTTTAGTACAGCTTCCATATTTATTTCTAAATCTTCTAAATCGTAATGAATGGAATAAAATTCTCGAACTGAAGTTGGACAAACACAGTGTTCATTTAAACTTTTTGATAATACAACGATTTATGATCACATAAAAATTCCAATCTTTTATAATGTATGCCTTTCTTTAAGCTCAAATTTCATCACCCCGATTTTTACCACAAACATTACAATAATGCTTACGATAACCTTTTTCTTATGTTTAAAAATAAATCTTGTTTGAGAACATAAAATAATCTGAGGTG